CTCCTATAACACGATTGATATGATGCTTAGTTGAACGTACTCCCGCCTCCTATAAGCCTCCGAAATGAGGTGAACCTGGGGGTATAAAGTGCCATTCGGTCCCCTCCGAAGCTAATATCTCACGCAACTCTACTGGCAATGAAGATTTAGCTTTATTTAAAATTTTCTTAAGTTCAAAATTCGCCCTATGAAATTAGTCCCACAATCTGAGTACAAATGAGCACAGTGCCCACGTCGAGAAGTAAACCTTTTAAAAGCTGCAATGAAAGCATTTGTTGATAACTCTGAAACTAATTCCAAATGTATAGATTTGGTTGAAGTACAAATGAAGATTGCAATGTAGGCTTTGTATATAGCAGCATTCCTAACTTTTGAAGATTTTAAATAACAAGGACCTGCGAAATCTACACCACTATTAGAAAATGGTTTAGCAATAGTGACTCGAACTGATGGCAAGTTTCCCATCAATTGAGTAGCAAATCTAGGTGCATATCTTACGCAAGCAACACATTTCTTGACATGTAACTTAACAAGCGATTTTACGTTTGTAATCCAGTAAGTATATCTAATAATATTCAACATAAGTAATGGCCCTCCATGCAACAATTTCTTATGAGTAAAATCAATAATTAATTTGGCTAATTGTGATTTGCCAGAAATTACAATAGGATGCTTTGCATCATGAGGAATACAAGCATTTTTTAATCTACCACCTACTCTTAATATGTTATGATCATCAATAAATGGACGTAAAAAATACAAAGGACTTTTCTTCGAAACAGTTTCACCATTCGATAGTTCATTAAATTCTTTTTGAAAATAATAATTTTGTGAAATCTTAATACAACAATTCATGGACTGTAATAATTCATTGGTCGTTAAATAAATTGGAAATTCATCAAGCAAATTAACATTACTTAAATTCATTCTGTTTATCACACGTTTTTTACATATATTAATAAATCTCAAACAATAAGCTAGAACTCTCTTAAGTTTTGTCAAACTAGAATATCTGTGTAAAATAAACTCTTCTTCTAGTTCATTAACATTTAAACATTGTACAGAATTAGCTTTCGCTTCTAAATCTGTTTCATGAAATTCATTATTAGGTAAAATATCATCAGTGGTATATAACCATTGTGGTCCATTCCACCATAATTCATAATCTGGCAACTGTGTAGGAGAAATACCTCTAGACGCGCAATCTGCTGGGTTATCTATTGTACTAACATGATGCCATCGATTAGGATGAGTTACATTTAATATCTCCGCAACTCGGTTTCCGACAAAAGTTTTCCAACAATTTGGTGGTTTTTGAAGCCAAGCCAGAACTATAGTGGAATCAGTCCAGCCAAATACACGGCCGCCACCCGAATCACGCCATCGCGTCCTGGGAAAACCTTAGAAATTCGGCCACGAGGCCAAGTTCCTCGAGGTAGCGAGGGGTCCACCACTAGGACAACCTCTCCAACGACCACCGGGCGCTGAGCTGTGTTTGAGGATCCTCGGGGCAGGAGTAAAGGCAAGTACTCACGAACCCAACGGCCCCAAAACATGTCAGCGAGACGTTGCGACTTACGCCAGTCACTCCTACTGAGAAGATCCCCATCATCTACGGCACCCGGAACAGGATGATATGGAGATGAACAACCTAACAAAAAATGGAATGGAGTGAGAGCTTCATGAGAATTTGGATCAGCTGGGATATCGGTAAGAGGGCGGCTGTTCACTAAGGCTTCGACTTCCAACAGCGCAGTGTGGAGCAGCTCTTCTTTAGGGCTTCGATCTTGTAACATGGCACGCAAAGCCACCTTGACGGAGCGCACAAGCCTCTCCCAAATGTTATAATAACTCTTTTGTATTGACATCTTATTTATTTCCTTTTATGTAAGTGTGACATCTGACATCTTTCAGTTAATGAAAAGTCTTATATTGTGAATATGATATTTTATTTCCATAAAATAATATAAATACTTTATTCTAAAGCTTATATTGAAGCAAGATTAGAATTATTAGAAACAAACTTTCAAAATTTTAAAGGTAACCATCTTAATATTGTAACAACAGCAACGCTTGATGAAAAGAAAAGCTTAACATATTTTCAAGATGATTCTTATTATTTATGTGAAAATGTTTATCTAGAATTAAAAACTTTGATGAAAGAACAGTTAGAGGAATTGTCTGCCAATTCATTAATATCTGTACAAAAGGGAGAAGTATCTGTCACAACACCTCAAAGTAAAGTATTAAGGGCTAAGTTACCAGCTATTGAAATCCCTTTTTTTACGGGAAATTATAATGATTGGACAGGTTTCTATGATTTATTCAAGTCTTTGATTCATAACAACGAGGATTTAAGCAATATAGAGAAGTATCATTATTTGAAAAGTAATTTGAAAGGCGAAGCAGAGTTATTATTAAAGCAATTTCCATTAACCGAAGCTAATTATGAGAAAGCATTAGAAGTTTTGGAATCAAGATACAACAACAAGAGGCTTATAGTACACGCACACGTTACACGGTTACTTGGACAGAAGAAGCTTATGTTAGAATCAGCTAAGGGATTACGCGCATTATTAGATACTACGAATGAGACATTGAATGCACTTAATAATGTTGGCGTATCTACGACAAACTGGGATCCTCTCGTAACACATATTATAGTAGCAAAGTTTGATTGTGAGAGTCAGCGTTTATGGGAACAACAATTAGCAGGAAGTAGAGACATTCCAAGCACTAAGCAATTGCTGGAATTTTTAGAAATAAGATTCAGATCTTTGGAGGCTTTAGCTGTGACACAACACAAAGAAGTAGTGAATCGGCAACCGTCAATAAGAACCTTCAAAACGAATGTCGAAGTCATTTGTTCGTTTTGTTATAAAGATCATTATATCTATAACTGCAAAGAGTTTGTGAAACTAAATTCGGAAGAACGTAGAGATGTCGTAAAAGAGAAACAACTGTGTTTCAACTGTTTGGTACCGGGACACAGTGTAAAATTTTGTAGACAAAATACTTCATGTAAAATATGTAAGCGACGTCATCATTCACTCTTACATCTAACTACATATGAAACGCAACAAGCACATGCTACACAAATTGAGAAAAACGAAGAGGATAGCGAAGACAAAGACACTTCCCAGTTGGCTGTCCACAAAGCTGATATTACTGACACACAGGTCATACTAGCTACGGCTATGGTTCGAATAATAGGCAAAGATGGCAATAAACACAAGTTGCGAGCACTGATTGATCAAGGGTCGCAAGCATCATTCATTACGTCATCAGCGGTTCAGCGTCTTGGTTTAAATAAAGAGCATCATATTAGCAAAGTGACGGGTATAGATCCACAACTGTCGATGGTTTCCAAAGAGCTAGTTGGATTTAATATTTTTTCAATATATAATGACACGCCGATAGTTCACGTCAAAGCTCATGTTTTGAAGTCACTTGCTTCTATACTGCCTCGTCAAGAGATATGTTTGAATTTGTCATCAGGGATAAGCACATTGCCTTTAGCAGATCCTACGTTTTCAAAGCCTAGCAGTATAGATCTTTTATTGGGGGCAGATATACATGCACAAATTGTTGTGGATGGACTTAAAAGATATGATTTAGTGATTGCACAGAATTCGCATCTTGGTTGGTTTATTTCAGGAAAAGTTGAAAGTAAAAGGCACACTGAAATAAAGGAAGTATGTTTAACGCACAGCCAACTTGAGACAGATGATGTATCGAGTAATACTTATACTTGTATTTCCTCGAATCGTTCATCCCTACTGTATCGCTACAGACACGCGTCGACGGCGCTGCGTTTAAAAAAACGCCGAGTGCACAGCCTTTTGATAAACGTGCTCCTGAAATGGGCAAATCACGTTTTGATAAAATTGAGGAGAAACGTTCTTGCAGTAAAAACCATTACAGCAGTTTCACTTCAAAACAATGCGGAATTAACAACTACAACAAACTTTATCTCGATGGACTAAGCTCATCGGAGGCCCGGAGCGGCAATAGGCCCGGATCGACAACTTTTTCCAACCGAGGCAGAATCTTGAATTGCTTTTTCATCATCGTCATCCGCCAAAATCATAATAAATTTATAACGTTATTGTGATTGTGGTTGATGACTGCAGCCATTTGAAGGCCCCCCTAGGACCGGAAGCTCTCCGCTGCTTACGTCATATACATTCATAAACTAACAAACAATGCAACGATTACCTAAGACATCTGTAAAAAGGCGTGGCTTTAAGTAAAACTGATATGAAAGCATAGAATCCCCCCTATGTGAACGAGATGATCTTTGGACTCGACAGTAAAACCAAATAAAGCAGTTGGTTGTTTAAAAAACGGGGTCCTTCAATAGTAATGCGGACGACACTCAATCTGGCAGCTTCTAGGGGTGTGTAAGAGTATGCGAATAATAAAAGTCTTATTTATATACAATGTCAGAAAGTGAGTCAAGTACCTAATGTGATTAGACTTACGGTCAATTGCACTAATGTCCATTAGAGTTTAATGTCTTATTCAGTTAGTTGCATAAACGTCCATTAAGGACACTTTAAACTAATAGACATTTTAATGGAAGTTTGTGCATATAACCGTTAATCGGAATAATTTGATTGTATAATAAAATTTAAATGATAATATGCTTAAAGTTAAATGTATAACGCCTGCCGAATTTCCACCAGCAGAAAGCAAACTCTCCTGATAATATCATAGCAAATACACACTCATAACCAACCGAGATTCTGAACTGCATTTACAACACTTGGAAGTACGATCTTAAGGCGTATCTCATTTGTAACGACGAGACCAAATGAGGAATAGCTAAAGGCATAAAATAAAATAAATAAATGAAAGTTAAAATTGAGTAATAATTTTTTTTGTATGTTGAGAACAAAAGTCCGTATTTTGGGACTCCATGTTAAGATTAACTGTAGTAATACTAATAGATTTACAGGAGTTCAAATAAAAGACTGATTTGAGTTTTTGTATATTTTAGCTTATAATTAAACAGGTTCTTAGATCCTCGAAGGATACAGCATCTGAAAAAAGAGATACAAAAATTATTAGTAGTATATATATTTTTTATTGAAATCTCTAAATTATTTGCATAGATGTCAGTGTAATTATATCAACATAAAATAACATTCAGGTTTCAAATGTCTAACCATCATTCTAGCTAGAGCTGGGTTCGGACGGTTACGGTAACGCATCAGTAAATAACGCAAAAGATGAACGGGTAACAAATCTTCAGATAATCTGTGTCATTGAAAAAAAGAGTTGGTCGTCATCGATTACATTTTAGAAAGCTCACACATTTTATTAACAGGGCATTTTAGTGCCCCACAAATGACGTGAAAAAATACAAGTTCATTGTTAACAAATATATTTCGGTTATTTATCCTTTTATCTGCCGCTAAAAACCCAGGTTGTTTAATACAGGTGAACAGTTTCATTAATAACTCTTTTATTTTGGTTTAGATTGTATACTATTATTAACCCTTTTATTTTTAGTTTAAACAAAAATACTTTTAATCTGTTAACCGAAGCAATCTATAACCATTTCAAATGATAAGTGAATAAATAGGTAACTGTAATAAGCAGTTACCATTATAAATTGTTATATTTTAAATCATCTATTGAAAAACTGAAAGTAAAACAGTTGCTGTTGTGAAGGTAAATGAGAGCATATCTGTGCACTTATATATAACTATACATATAGTAAATAATCCTGTAAAAGACAGCAGTGACATGCCTAAAAGTGATTTAATCCATAGATGGTGATCTTTTCTCACCATTTTTTTTTTTCATTTTAATGCTTTTTATTAAACAAATGATTGTAGAAAATGTCTTACCAAATCTCTAAGTAAAAAACATTTAGTGTATAACAATACTGGAATGCAAACACATATTAACCCACAAAACTTAAATTATTCTTCAGAGCAGGAAAATTAATAGACTGATGGACAGTTGCACAAATGTCTATTAAGGTTTAATGAAGCCTTTAGGCTCTAATGAATGACAAAGGACATTGCTCAACGTCCATATATTGGTTGCCCCAGAGCCAAAAAAATATAGGAAAGTACTTATTTTATTGTGTGTCACTAACTAATTCTCATTATGTATTTATTATACCGCGACCGAGTTTTAGAACTTATTATCACGTAAAATATAATTCATTTTGAGGTTATAATTTGTTTGGAAAACCACCAAGAGATGGCACTCTAAGTACATGATATGAAATTGATGTCTATATTGTTGAAGCAAAAAAACTCAACTTTAAGAAAGTCGGTTTTTCGTTGTGATTTGTAAAAGTTTCTAAGTCAATCAATAGACAAATAAATCATTCTAATAGTTAAATAATATACCTATTGATAAGCTTAAAATTAAAAAACCTATTGCTTTTTAATGGTTTACATCAAAAGCCTTAAATACATAAATGACATGATGTTTACGAGAAATATAAAGGTAATGTAATAGAAACAAAGTAGTTTTTAGGATATGTCGTATGAATATCAATCTTTCTGAATAAACAAGAGTGAATTATCAACAGTTAATGAATTTAGTTTGTATAATATTCAGTTTTTATGTCCTTATGTTTTAGTTAGAAAATCACCAAGAGATGGCGATTTTAGTAAATTTAAGTTTATTTTCGCTCAATTTAATTTAATGTTTTTGTGTTCAATGATTTAAAGGTTATCTAATAAGAATAAATGATCTTGATCTGACGTGTAAATTACATCCATCTGACTCAATCGAATTTAAGTATTTTGAATGTGAATATTTGCGAATAAAAATGTTACTGTTAAAGTATTTTTAAATATTAATTTTGGATCTCAGCTTGTCAGTGTCAACATATTTGTTGCCATAGATGTAAAAAATATTCTGTTCTGAAGAATAATTTTTCTTTTGTGGATTACTGTTTACATTCCAGTCAATGTCTTCATAACTTTTATTTTTATTATTGCAGATTGTTTTTTATTTTATTTAGATTTACAAAATGAGGCACAAGTGTTGTAATTTATCTTGGTCACTGCGGATTACATAAATGTTTAGAAATTTTTTTAGAAAATTGTATACCAGGCTTCTTTCGTTCAGGATTTCAAGTTCTTTTTTTTTTATATTAACATCACAAGTTTTTCCAAATTATAATGACTAGGTGTTTGATAAAATTTTCTATCATAGCATTCATTCTATCCATAATGTCATTCATCCGTCAAACAAAATTTTTAAAAGCAATGTCACAATTAATGATGACACCTACCACTCGTATCCTATGTCCCATAGCATGTGCAGGCAAATTGCTCTTGAAACGAGCACGCACACTGCCGGAACTTCCATGTGGGCGGGTCACCTTGCCCCATATAGCACGAAGCTTGGTCTTCTTGCCACGGGGACCACCAGCGATTGGTGTCCTCTTCTTGGCTCGGTAAACATACACACATCGCTTGCCAGCATAAAAGTCTGCATCTGTACGATCTCTAGCCCCTTCAATCTGAAACAAGAGTCAGTATTGGTAAATACTATGACTAAATAAAAATCTTCTAGAAACTTGTTCTCACAATGATCAGGAAAGTCTTGTCCACATTTAAATTCAGGTTTCAAATGTCTAAGCATCATATCAATATTTTTTTAAAAGATATGTTTATAAAATATCTAACACACGTCGGGTTTGAGGCGCAAATTTTCATAATTCTAAGGCTATTTTTAAAATGTTACCTTTAGAAGTGCTGTGTTCTCGTGCTGGTTACGTAGTCCACGTTTGTATCCTGTGAACACAGCTTTAGCGTACAGTCTACCATGACGAGGCTTCGACGACACTTTACGCACGGCTTTAGGTGGTTCCGCAGGAGCAGCTGGGGCGGCCTTGGGAGCCTTCTCTTTGGGGGCCTTTGTTTTAGGCGCCTTAGCCTTAGGCGCACTGGACGAAGGTGCGTCTGCCATTCCTAAAATGCCGAATTTATACCTTGATGAGAAAGAGGTTATGTTGACATCCAACTATGAATTAAATCTCAATATATCTCGATGAAAGTTGTTAATCTGGCACCGTAGGTGATACGAAAATGTAAAATAACATCATCACATTCCATAATCAGATATATTTTAAACTATGTCTCTACAAAAACTGAAATAAAATAATTTATAAATAAAACAAACCTATCACAATTTTCTTGTAAAAATGAAAGAACTCAGCTCGGTGTTGCCAAACCTTAAATAAAACTTCCCCTTACTCTTCTGTTTTTTCATAGTATGCCTAGTCAAAATATAAGATGCTATATTATTTTTTCAACTTCTTAAGCTATCACAATTTTCTATACCCTGTTAAGATACAATTACATTTTGAATATTTTGGAATAAACATTTGCGTATCGCTTGGCATCTTAATATAAAAATATTATATCTATAATCTTAGCCATAACTGCTGGGTGAGCCATTAGATTGTATGAGCAATATTTTTTCTCTTATAAGCAGTGGTCGGAATTAGGTAGAGTTATTCATGTACTTACACTGATTTCATACAGCGAAAGAATAAAGTGGATATGCCTCAAATCCCAAGATTAATTTTAAAGAGCAGAAAAAATCCCGTGATTTTTGAAATAAAAAGTTATTTACTTTTACACAATTTAAACTACTGCACGCATGACGTTGCCAAACTTACATCAATGACATCGGATGTCCAAAGTTGCAAAATTTGTATTGTAAATTAATGTAAAATAATAAAAAAATTATGTTAATTTTCTTTGTTTTATTTGTCTGTCTCTGACGTTGTTATTATTATTTAGTTGTAAGATTGTTGGCCACACGGGATTGTCCATTAGAAATCCCGGTAAGGTCCACATTAATATCAACATTTCGATGCAAGTACATAAATAACTCTACCTAATTCCGACCTCTGCTTATAAGTATAACGACATAATAAATTGTGCTATGTAGGCCATTAATAAAGAATATTTTCTATAAGCCTGATTATTGAAAGATAATGATGTTTCTTATATATTTTTTGTACTATATTATTTTTGTATTGCATATTTTTAGACTGAGATGACATAGAATGATAGTTAGTGGAGATAGGTACCATTTACATCATACTATATATCTGATTGCCTGAACTTCCAGTAGAAGAAATGCATAGGTGGAATTCTATAGTTGAAACAGTTTTTAAAAAAAGTCTACCGCAGTGGTGGCAAGGTGAATGATTCGTTCATTTTTTATATTACTTCTCGTCACACACAGCCCATCTTATCATAGCTCTCAATTCTGTACTTACGGTACAAAGCTTATGATCTCCCTTAAATATGTCATTAAAATTGGTCTTGCAATACAGGACCTACTTCGTTCAGAAATTCAAAGTATAAACCCTGTCACTTTGAAAAAGAAGAAGAAGAATGTTCATGAACTTTGAGTATTAAAAACTAATAAGAGTAACAATCAGCAAGCGTACCCCTCTGTAAAAGCTATATGCTCAATGTGTATGCTCGTTATATAAAACCGTTCTTCCCCATTTTTCGTGCCATTCAGAAATGTTAATATGAAATAATTAATTCTTCAAAGTTCATTAGAGTAAAGTTTTATGTATACAAATATACAAGTTTTTGATTCATTAAAAACAACCAAGTAGTTATAATTTTACAGGCATTTGAAGTCTGCAAAATTTTCAACTGCCGCTCACAGTCCCAAAGCCGGCATACATTTTCCAAGCTCCGTCTAGTCGAGAGAGCTACTTGCTAGACGCCAGCGGTCATAATATTGTAATCTTTGCCAGCGGTGACAGGAGATCTTGCGCAGTATTTTGTTACTTGCTTGTGTAGAGTGTTTATCCAATGAGGAAGTATTAAAAAAAATTGTTCCTGATATCAAACAAGATGTCGCTACGGTACTTTCTCGATTTCTACATGACAACCAGAAAGAAAGAAAACTGGAATTCCGGTTTCTTTCGTGTATAAAAGTAAATTCATTTTCAAAAATTAATAAACAACTTATATCCTATTTGTAGTTTTTCATATTTGTATTGATATCTAAGTTTCGAACTTTGCAAATTTCAGTTTTTTAATATGTTAGTTAAAAAGAATTAAAATCACTATCTTTGGTCCATTCGTTCCCTGCAAAAATCAACTTTTGATAGAGTGCTTTTTAGTGCCTTCCTATTATTACTTCCTCATTTATTTGTAATTTGAAATAGTTAAATAAATAGTCGGATTGTGAATTAAATCGGTGTTAATTTTTTTATCCCCAACCCTAAGTAGTAACAATAATATCACAGACACTCGCTCCGGCCGTGACAGCGAGAGGCCGTTGCCTTTTCGAGTCCAACCTAGTAGCAGTAACCTTTTTTAATTACGTTAATGAAAACAATGTATGAGTCATCGTCGTACACACAATGTTGTCAACTGCACGACATACAAAGGGTCTATAGCTTACAGGATCCCGGATCCGGAGTGAAGGTCATTTAAAAAAAAAGATTAACCGAAACTGTCAAATTAAAAAGCTCATTTTAAACCCAAATTTAATCGAAGTAAAGGTCAAAGTCCATTGCGGAAATTTTGATATATTGTGATTACCTGATGAGCAGCCACTGGCTGTGTACATAATAAATAGTAGTAGGGGTAGGAATTTTACTTAAAAGTAGCAAACTTATTGTGTGACAGTGTACCTAACGCCAGAAAATAAGTGATAGAATTTGACACATATTTTTAGTAAATCTCCTTTTTTTTATACTGGTCACTTAATCTTACGTCATAAATTAAAAAGCGCTACGTCTGATTTGGACCAATCAGAATAAACCACGAAAAGAGACGAAGGAAAGATGGATTGTCATATTGTCAAATAATTAGTTTGTATTGAAATACAATTGCTGCTATTTTGTGCTAACGACTGCTGTAATAAATATTATAATTTAATTATGGACTACTTAGTGAATATAAACTGGAACAAAATCACACCATGCCTTGTTTTATTAGTACTAGAAGTAGTTTTAGAATGTGTGTATCGTTTTGACGGGCTTAACCTAATTTATTGTGGATTTTTTGTTGTTTTCTGTGTGGATGGTGGTTTTCTAACCTGACGTGGTATAGTTTCAGAGTGCGCGACGCCGGCGGAGGTAAATAAACACCTGGAATTAGGTCGGGACTTTCTTGCTAGAGGTCAGCTCTCAGATGCTCTAACGCACTATCATGCAGCTGTCGGTGAGTGTTATTCCAAAAAAGTTCCTAGTATAAACAATAGAACGCCCTCGTTCGTGTCAAGGTCGCGAGACCTTGGATGTACTCTTATTAGAAAACGTCTATTATGTGAGTTTTCCTACAAGATGTTGCTAGAAGATAACATTAACTTAAAGTTGGAATTAAATTCGTAATTATTACGAATAAAAACAGATTAATTATTGTAACATTTTAAATCTTTCTTTGGGCATCTATAAACATAAATTATTCTTTAATGTTAAATCATATCCATTATTATTAAGTAAACTGTATGACCGATTCATAACAATAGTCCATTTCACATAGCATAGGTACGGTAACATTTGTTAATAACCATTTCACACAATTTGTATATCCAAATAATTAAAAATCATCATTATAGAAAATATTTTTACAGTTTATATATAAGATATTTATTTAAAATTGTATATTACAACAAAAATATTTTTTTTAATATGCATAATAACTAAAATAAAATATACTAAATTTTAGAACATCAATATTTGAATAATAGCATAATAGCCTATGGGATGAGTGGGTTAATTGCTTATTTAAAAGTCTAACACACCTTTCAAAGGTATAATGAATGATATTGTTCATTAAATCTTTCAATGTGTAGTTTGTGAATAACTTTTGAATTTAAATCAAAAGGGAAAAGGTTAAGAATACTAAATGGATGAAAAATCTTATTATTTTTCTTACTCAGCTTTATCTTATTGACAAATTAATATTTTTTAATCTTGTTTTTACATTCACCTCAAAATCGATTATCTCTATTAAAATCAAAATAAATTTTAATAGAAACAATATTATTGAATTTTTTATTACCTCGTCTCTGAAATCCCAAACTTCACCTAACTTATGCTATGTATGTACTATAATTTGTCAAACTTTCGCATCATTTTACCTTAGTAAATATTATTTATTTGTTGCCAGAGGGTGATCCTAATAACTACCTCACATATTTCAAGCGTGGCACGGTGTACTATGCTCTTGGCAAAGCCAAGTTTGCATTACAAGACTTTACTAAGGTAGGTAACAATTATTTTTATGAGGATTGTTTTTAAAAGACCGATAAAAGCCGACTTCATTTGTTCACAAGTGTAAAAAAAGGAATTGGAAAGTATTTGGTATTAAAATGATTAAGTCCATATGTGATAATATCAATAACTTTCTTAAATATTTAATAATAATTTATCAATAATTTTTAATTTAGCTTAATAATTCATCTCTTTTTATTAATATTTCTATAATTTATCAGTAATAAGTAACTTTATTGTTATAAAGGTATTAGAGTTGAAACCAGACTTCACGTCAGCACGGCTGCAGCGTGCTAATGTATACCTTAAATTAGCACAATTCAAAGAAGCCAAAGAGGACTATCTACAAGTGGTGAGTACCCACTTTCTGTTATCTACAATATACAACAAGTTCACATTCTGTCAATTTTTAGAAGGCAAAAACTCTACAATTTTTATACCTAGATGCAACACAAATGGATACTAGATAATTTCTTACTTTAGCTGCTGGATAGTTTTATTGTTTAAAATATAGATATAAGCTTATTGATCATTAAAATCTCTCAATATATGCTCATTATGTATAAATATTAAGAACATTAATTTGCGTTAGAAACATGTGAGTACAAGCATAATTCCTTTCCTTTTGTTTGTTTAATGTGGAAAGTGAAAATACCTAATTGAGATGTTTAGCTTATTGAAATAACTTGAATTGTTCTATAATTTTTTTTCCTATCACTGTCTACGTTTGGTATTGCACAATGTTAAAAAAGAATCCTTATCACAGTGATATAGTGTTGTGCACATATGTTACGAAAGTGCATAAAGATAAAGTATTTTACTTGATTAATGTTGTGATTTTGCCTGGAATACAGTTTTTAATCGAGAAGTTGATGTTCAGCTTCAGTCTGATTTTTTTCATCAACCTAGTTACATGACGACCTCGACCTTGACGAAACTTACTTTATATAATTTTCGCTCATGGTGACAAATATTCAAAGGAGTTATTCCTTTGAATATTTGTTATCCATTTAATTTAAATATATTCATGCAATTACTCATAAAGTAAATAATTCATCTAGTGGTCAGGTTCAACACCTTGGACAGTTGAGTGTCATATGCTTATCAGCTATTTTTCCGCTTGATTCATTTCAAACCTTATAATATTTGTAACAGAGTTCCAAATTAATTATGCATATTTGATACTAGTGGACGCCCGCGACTTCGTCCGCGTGGAAGTCGGTATCCCGTGGGAGTGAGAAGTTTTCCCAGTAAAAAGTACCCTATGTGTTATTCTGATGTATAACCTATATTGCTGTAAAGTTTTATCCAAATCCGTCCAGTAGTTTTTTCGTGAAAGAGTAACAAACATCCATACATCCATACTTACAAACTTTCGCCTTTATAATATTAATAGGATAGGATTTTCTAACTACCACAACGTAGTAGTATGTTTAATATATAGACCATCAAAACTTTGTGTGCCATGTCCAAATAAATTTGATACATAATATTTTATTGCACTTGTATCGGTTACCAAAATGTCTCAATGTTATGATAAACAAAGTTGAGTGGGGGCTGGACTCATTCTTAGAATAATTCTATTCCAGATGACATTGTGAGTCATATTTTGCATTGACTTGAATATCACCCCTAAAGTTTTAATTCACTGAAATTGTTAGTGTGACCAATCAGCGTTTAATTTTGCATTTCATATGACTTCTCTATTATAATATTTTTGTTATACGGCTGCGAAAGTTATTTCAACAATTGCACTCACTATATTCATGGCACATTTGATTTATTTCTAATATTTTTTTTATTAGATGACCCAGTATATGTAACACTTACTTAGTATTTAATCATAAATAGGTTGCCTGGATGAAATTGCTGTTTAGCAACAAGGCTGCCATTTGTTTACCCAATCTCTTAAATAATAAGCTCCTGTAAACAATTTATCATCTTGGGTCCAATAAAGTATTTTATTATTATTATCACTATCATAGATTTTATCTCGCATACTCGTATACACCTACGAGTATGTGTTGAAGCCAAACACTTGTCTCACACATTAGCAATTATCAGTCACCATTCAAGAAGTGTTGCACAAATCAAATCAGTCCGGAAATTTAGAATTTGCTACTTGACTGGTTTTAGCAACCATGGTTATTTCGATTCCTTTCATCATTCTCTTTCAAATGATGTGGGATTGACTAAAAAAATATATGACTGCAATTTAACAACAAAAAGTAGCGACAAAAGAATTTATTAAAAATAATATCGGCAAAATTTTGCTAGGCACCCTTGTTGGAATCTATTCTACTATCTTAGATATATCGTAAAAAAATAAGTTTCATCAAAAAACAGATAAGTGTAGATTTAATCAGCGCGATCTTGTGTTATTAAAATTTCATATATTTGATCGATTGCTATAATTCGAAAATTTTATTAATTTTAAAAACTCAATTAATTTTGATTACAGCAGGAAGATAATTAATCGTAACGCGTATCATAGGCAATTTGATAGAACAGTAAATAACTTTTTAAATAATCCGTTATTAGTAACAACGTTACTTAAAAAACATGTATTAGTTTTTTAATATGTGAGTCTTTTGTCGCCGATATAGGAAAGATATATTTAATGAAAACATTTTTTTTTTCATATTGATGATTACGCCAGCAGGGATTGAAAACACACACAATGTTTCGTTTCTATTACGACTTGTAAAATACGTGACACGATAAGTTTTTCTTTGTTCAATATGATAAAAAGCGTAGACCTTCGCAATAACACCTGTTATTTATTTTAAACATTTAAATTTTCACCGATAAGTCAAATAGCGAAGTTATAAATTACCATAATTAAGATACGTAAGTATGAAATAAAATATGCATTGAATAGAATGTTTAAATGTGTTTTTTTCATCCTCTCCGGTATTACAGTTTTCTGTTTTCTCTGAAAAGCCTACGTTCATCATATGATATCCGTTGAAGATGAATTTAGGTAGCTCATTAAAATTTTAAATCAAGAAGTCAGGGAAAGTCGGGGCGAGCCGGTCCCACGTGCAGTATGTTCCTCACAAGCGATCTTAAAAAATACTGAAAGTAACTACAAATAAACCGACAAGATGCGATTTTCAGGCCCCCATCTAGTTCCCCGAAGCGGTGAGTTCTTTTAAAATCATCGCCTAGCGAACCTCTACGCCGGAAGTGCTACCGGTGTGGCAAATTTCAGGTCAATCAATTCGACACCGTTTTACCGGAACCGAATGTATGTGAGTATATCTTTTCGTGCCAGACGTACGCGGACCCGTACAACGAGGAGGCGATATCGCAGTACCACAAGGTGGACGAGTACGCGGAGGAGCTGCGGCTGACGGAGGCGGCCTTCCGCGACGGCGACTTCCGCGCCGCCGCCGCGCGCGCCACGCGTCTGCTGGACGCCGCGCCCTGGGCCGCCGCGCTGCGCCACACCAGGGCCGAGTGCTACATCGCCATGGTAATCGCTCACTCGCTCACTCATTCCCTCACTCATTCACTCACTCACTCACTCATTCATTGGGCCAGCTATTTAGTCGTGCCGATTTCGAAACTGACGATGACGATTTATGTCGTGTGCGCAGAACGACCTGTTCTCGGCAGTATCGGATATCCGGTCGGTGAACCGTCTGCAGCAGGACTCCACCGACGGCTACTACCGCCTCGCCTCTCTCCTCTACCGCCTCGGACACGTCAGCGACGCACTCAAGGTACGCTTGCTCCTCCGATCGAGCTAACCTCGCAACGTTATTTTCTACGATTAGGACCATCACTTTGATACTTTTGCTTCCTTTTTCTAAGGTCAATATTTGTTTAAAACACCTACAGGAGACGAGTTAACTCGTACCATGATAAAAAAGTACAAAATGTTTATTTATTTGTAAATTTTTTGCACTTATTACATGGAAATATCAAAACGAAGCAAAAAGTACTACTTTTGTACGAATCTGTTGTCACTTTATCGTGATTAGGTGTCGGATTAAATTTAATTGTCCAATAGATATCGATATGATTATGACCCTGTCGGCTATACGTATTAGTACTAGAATTATTAAAAAGTTATTTGAGACCTTTTCTGAATTTTTATCGTTTGTAATTAGGAAATTCGTGAGTGCCTCAAGTTAGATCCGGAACACAAGAAATGTTTCCCCCTTTACAAGAAGCTAAAGAAAGTGGACAAACTCCTGTTAGACTGCGAGTCGTTAAGCGAAGCGAGGGACTTCCCCGGGTGTATAGCATCGGCAAAGAAAGTGCTGCAAGTAGAGGATGAGGTCACGCTGGTCGTGTTTGAAGCGAGGAAGTGGTTGTGTAGCTGCTCCGTCAAGGTAGGATTATACTAAATTATTATTAAAGGATTGAACTAATTAATAAAAAAAACTTTCGTCTAGTCTATAGCGTTTATTCAATTCTTTCGAAAAATAGCCTTTCCCATTTCGTTCAATAATGAGAAACATGTTAACAATAAAATGTACATTGCTTTATTTGTGAAAATATGGTTACAAGGTAGTTTAAAATTTTAATACCATAATTAAGAATGACATTTATCTTGCAAGAATTCATTAAGTAAATAATTATTTTTGTCCATTAAATATTTAAATAAATAGGATTTCAATTTAATTACATTATCAATACTTTTAATATAGTTCGGTAATTTATTATAAATGCGTGTTCGAATTAACGAGTCCTTGAATTGGAATACATAAATTTTTTCCCTTCCTATATGCAAAATCCTTATTTAAAACACGGAAGTGGTAATTCATTTAATGATTTAAACAAAGGCTTACATGAGTCCAAGTAGCCTGCACCACAGACTGACCGTATGCATTTTTTTTGTATTTAAAAAGCACGAATTGCATTCACCGAATCACCCCATATCACTATACCAAACCGCAACACAGATGAGACGTAACTATGATATGCTATTAGAACGGATTGTTTAGAGGCCACTTGTCTAATTTCAATTGTATTAAGAGCAAATATAAATCTGTTCAATTTGGCAGTAACTATGTCTATATGTGCCTTCCAACTACAGAATCTGTCTATCGTGATCCCTAAGAAATTTGTTTCATTTACTTCTAATAGTTTGTTATCATTATGCCTTATATCTATTGTTCTAGTTTTAGTATTTGTAGTTTTAAATTGTAAATATTTCATTTTATTAATGTAATTTTTCTCCAGTCATTGGTGTGACTTTTATGAATTCAGTGTTAGCTTCTCGTTTAATATCATCACAATCCTTACATCACAATATGACACAAGACTTGTTATGACTTGTTATAACAAGTCTTGTATCATCTACAAATAGCACTCTGCAAATCATTGATGTATAGTAAAAAAAAAGTGGTCCAAGTACACTACCCTGGGGTATGTCATAATGATTTAGTGTATATTTAGAAGTATAAGACTTTCTAAAATTATCTTGCATCTTAGATAATTGGACACACTATATGCGATTGCTTAGATAACTTTTCATCCATTCCAAGGCATTGTCCCTTATTCCATATCTATCTAATTTGTGTAAGAGTAACTTTTGTGAATCAAAATCAAATGTTTTGTTCACGTCCAGAATTATTGCCAAAATATTTAATTTAGGATCGAGCTTATGCGTAATATGTTTTATGAGGTTGAAACATGCCAGAGCCGTATTTCTGTTTTTTGGAAATCCAAACTGTTCATCTTTTAATATATCTTGAGATGAGATAAAAGCGTAAACTTTGTCATGCACAACTTTTTCAAATACTTTTGAGAAGATTGAAATAAGTAATATAGGTAATTATTTAGTTCATTGAATGATTCTCTTTTGTGTTACGGTTAAATTGATGAGCGTTTTAGTACTAAAGGAAAGTGATTCTGCATAAAAGACAAATTTGTAATGTGAGTTGGTGGATGTACAATAAAACTAGCACTTTTTTAATGATATCCATACTTAATTTATCGATGTTAGTTGAGTGTGTTTTTTTATTATGTTTTTTCATTATCTTATAAATATCATTTTCATTAACTGGTATAACGTAGATATTATTTGAATAAATTGGTGTGTTGCATATGTCAATAAATTAAAATAATTTTATTAAATTTATATTTAATATAATGAAATCGAGGTCCAAGTTTTAAACTTTGCGCTACTGTCGTATTAGGAATTCCTATAATGAATTAAAAGATTTGGGTGACGTCAGAGTCGGCTTTTCGTAATTTTTCATTTAAATATGAAAAATTAGGTCAATCGAGGACCTATTTTTAACTTAAAAAAAATCATATAAACGCAATCGAACGCCATAGATAAATCGAAAGGATGCTTTGAGCGCTATTCTTTATATATTTGGAAAAACATAAATATTTGCTATGTACAATTTTTTATTATTTTTAAAGTCCCTCTCGGATGTGCCACCGGGAAAGGCAAAATTAAAGTCCTCTTTTGGGCGAAGATTTCCCGGTGAATTCTAATCATATTCAATCAAATGACATTTTAATGGAACGGTTTTATTTAAAATAGGAATTAAGGGATATAGGTATATATTGAAATAAACAAGGAATAAATATACGTGATACAGGACGAGCAGTTTACGGAGGCGCTGGCGGAGTGCGGCGCGGCGCTGCAGCTGCAGCGCGACGCGCGTGTGCTGTGCGACCGCGCGGATGCGCTGCTGGGGCTAGACATGTTCGACGACGGTGCGTACATGTACACATATACACACATATACACATACACATATGCAGCGCACGCGCGTGTGCTGTGCGACCGCGCGGATGCGCTGCTGGGGCTAGACATGTTCGACGACGGTGCGTACATGTACACATATACACACATATACACATACACATATGCAGCGCACGCGCGTGTGCTGTGCGACCGCGCGGATGCGCTGCTGGGGCTAGACATGTTCGACGACGGTGCGTACATGTACACATATACACACATATACACATACACATATGCAGCGCACGCGCGTGTGCTGTGCGACCGCGCGGATGCGCTGCTGGGGCTAGACATGTTCGACGACGGTGCGTCACGTGTACACATATACACACATATACACATACACATATGCAGCGCACGCGCGTGTGCTGTGCGACCGCGCGGATGCGCTGCTGGGGCTAGACATGTTCGACGACGGTGCGTACATGTACACATATACACACATATACACATACACATATGCAGCGCACGCGCGTGTGCTGTGCGACCGCGCGGATGCGCTGCTGGGGCTAGACATGTTCGACGACGGTGCGTCACGTGTACACATATACACACATATACACATACACATATGCAGCGCACGCGCGTGTGCTGTGCGACCGCGCGGATGCGCTGCTGGGGCTAGACATGTTCGACGACGGTGCGTCACGTGTACACATATACACACATATACACATACACATATGCAGCGCACGCGCGTGTGCTGTGCGACCGCGCGGATGCGCTGCTGGGGCTAGACATGTTCGACGACGGTGCGTCACATGTACACATATACACACATATACACATACACATATGCAGCGCACGCGCGTGTGCTGTGCGACCGCGCGGATGCGCTGCTGGGGCTAGACATGTTCGACGACGGTGCGTCACATGTACACATATACACACATATACACATACACATATGCAGCGCACGCGCGTGTGCTGTGCGACCGCGCGGATGCGCTGCTGGGGCTAGACATGTTCGACGACGGTGCGTCACGTGTACACATATACACACATATACACATACACATATGCAGCGCACGCGCGTGTGCTGTGCGACCGCGCGGATGCGCTGCTGGGGCTAGACATGTTCGACGACGGTGCGTCACGTGTACACATATACACACATATACACATACACATATGCAGCGCACGCGCGTGTGCTGTGCGACCGCGCGGATGCGCTGCTGGGGCTAGACATGTTCGACGACGGTGCGTCACATGTACACATATACACACATATACACATACACATATGCAGCGCACGCGCGTGTGCTGTGCGACCGCGCGGATGCGCTGCTGGGGCTAGACATGTTCGACGACGGTGCGTCACATGTACACATATACACACATATACACATACACATATGCAGCGCACGCGCGTGTGCTGTGCGACCGCGCGGATGCGCTGCTGGGGCTAGACATGTTCGACGACGGTGCGTCACATGTACACATATACACACATATACACATACACATATGCAGCGCACGCGCGTGTGCTGTGCGACCGCGCGGATGCGCTGCTGGGGCTAGACATGTTCGACGACGGTGCGTCACATGTACACATATACACACATATACACATACACATATGCAGCGCACGCGCGTGTGCTGTGCGACCGCGCGGATGCGCTGCTGGGGCTAGACATGTTCGACGACGGTGCGTCACATGTACACATATACACACATATACACATACACATATGCAGCGCACGCGCGTGTGCTGTGCGACCGCGCGGATGCGCTGCTGGGGCTAGACATGTTCGACGACGGTGCGTCACATGTACACATATACACACATATACACATACACATATGCAGCGCACGCGCGTGTGCTGTGCGACCGCGCGGATGCGCTGCTGGGGCTAGACATGTTCGACGACGGTGCGTCACATGTACACATATACACACATATACACATACACATATGCAGCGCACGCGCGTGTGCTGTGCGACCGCGCGGATGCGCTGCTGGGGCTAGACATGTTCGACGACGGTGCGTCACATGTACACATATACACACATATACACATACACATATGCAGCGCACGCGCGTGTGCTGTGCGACCGCGCGGATGCGCTGCTGGGGCTAGACATGTTCGACGACGGTGCGTCACATGTACACATATACACACATATACACATACACATATGCAGCGCACGCGCGTGTGCTGTGCGACCGCGCGGATGCGCTGCTGGGGCTAGACATGTTCGACGACGGTGCGTCACATGTACACATATACACACATATACACATACACATATGCAGCGCACGCGCGTGTGCTGTGCGACCGCGCGGATGCGCTGCTGGGGCTAGACATGTTCGACGACGGTGCGTCACATGTACACATATACACACATATACACATACACATATGCAGCGCACGCGCGTGTGCTGTGCGACCGCGCGGATGCGCTGCTGGGGCTAGACATGTTCGACGACGGTGCGTCACATGTACACATATACACACATATACACATACACATATGCAGCGCACGCGCGTGTGCTGTGCGACCGCGCGGATGCGCTGCTGGGGCTAGACATGTTCGACGACGGTGCGTCACATGTACACATATACACACATATACACATACACATATGCAGCGCACGCGCGTGTGCTGTGCGACCGCGCGGATGCGCTGCTGGGGCTAGACATGTTCGACGACGGTGCGTCACATGTACACATATACACACATATACACATACACATATGCAGCGCACGCGCGTGTGCTGTGCGACCGCGCGGATGCGCTGCTGGGGCTAGACATGTTCGACGACGGTGCGTCACATGTACACATATACACACATATACACATACACATATGCAGCGCACGCGCGTGTGCTGTGCGACCGCGCGGATGCGCTGCTGGGGCTAGACATGTTCGACGACGGTGCGTCACATGTACACATATACACACATATACACATACACATATGCAGCGCACGCGCGTGTGCTGTGCGACCGCGCGGATGCGCTGCTGGGGCTAGACATGTTCGACGACGGTGCGTCACATGTACACATATACACACATATACACATACACATATGCAGCGCACGCGCGTGTGCTGTGCGACCGCGCGGATGCGCTGCTGGGGCTAGACATGTTCGACGACGGTGCGTCACATGTACACATATACACACATATACACATACACATATGCAGCGCACGCGCGTGTGCTGTGCGACCGCGCGGATGCGCTGCTGGGGCTAGACATGTTCGACGACGGTGCGTCACATGTACACATATACACACATATACACATACACATATGCAGCGCACGCGCGTGTGCTGTGCGACCGCGCGGATGCGCTGCTGGGGCTAGACATGTTCGACGACGGTGCGTCACATGTACACATATACACACATATACACATACACATATGCAGCGCACGCGCGTGTGCTGTGCGACCGCGCGGATGCGCTGCTGGGGCTAGACATGTTCGACGACGGTGCGTCACATGTACACATATACACACATATACACATACACATATGCAGCGCACGCGCGTGTGCTGTGCGACCGCGCGGATGCGCTGCTGGGGCTAGACATGTTCGACGACGGTGCGTCACATGTACACATATACACACATATACACATACACATATGCAGCGCACGCGCGTGTGCTGTGCGACCGCGCGGATGCGCTGCTGGGGCTAGACATGTTCGACGACGGTGCGTACATGTACACATATACACACATATACACATACACATATGCAGCGCACGCGCGTGTGCTGTGCGACCGCGCGGATGCGCTGCTGGGGCTAGACATGTTCGACGACGGTGCGTACATGTACACATATACACACATATACACACATACACATATGCAGCGCACGCGCGTGTGCTGTGCGACCGCGCGGATGCGCTGCTGGGGCTAGACATGTTCGACGACGGTGCGTACATGTACACATATACACACATATACACATACACATATGCAGCGCACGCGCGTGTGCTGTGCGACCGCGCGGATGCGCTGCTGGGGCTAGACATGTTCGACGACGGTGCGTACATGTACACATATACACACATATACACATATGCAGACGCACGCGCACGCTCAGACACAAAACACAGGCATTATATACTCATTGTTTTATTAATATTTATACTTTAATATAATTATTTGCAATGTATTGAAGGAGGAGCCTGCCTCTCATAACACAGGGTAACCTTATATGAAAGCAGTTCACATTTTGTACTGAAAAAAGTGTATAAAATAAATAAATTTTCATTTTCAAATGCCTGTTTTCGTAGCTCCGCCGCCAGCGAAACGTAAACGCTACTGAATCCCTTTAGTCCGCTATTATTTTTCATCGAACGTTGGTGAATTCTGTTTGTTAAATACGACTCAACCCGGACGGCCTCCGCTAATCATTTATGATTTTTTTTATTTCAGATATTTGATCTGTTTTTGTTTTGTTTTTGCATAAAAGTATAATCGAATAAAAAGTGAGTCCTCTTCTGAGTAGGAAAAAAAAATTGTTGGAATGGTCGGGCCCAGCACAGGCCCCGGCGCTCTGACCACAATATCAGTTTAAAAATCTCACTCTTTTGTAAGTGGCAACTTTGCTCGTTCCTGTTAGCACGTATTGTAATAATAAATATGTCTAGAATAGAATAGAATTTTTATTCGGTAACACACATCACATACACAATTTATATACAGTTTTATAAAAAATTGATAGAAAAATTACAAAAAATAACAACAAAGAAGGAAAAGAAAACATGATAAGGACAATAATAATTAATGTGTCATAGTGTGCGTTACCAAGCTGGCCTCAACTCATCAGTATAAAGTAGTAAGCGGGGGCTTACTGTACTGGTATTCTGCAAAGCTACTATAAAAGGATTATGTCGAATAAAGCAAAACTCATATCCAAACTTTTCAAACTTTCTATATATTAAAATTTTAGTTAACATAGTGGAAGTTTTCAGCCTTAACTTAAAAATTAATTAAACAGTCTCTCTAATTTATGGCCTTCAATAATAATTACCTACTCTTAAAGATTTTAGAATATCTATGCTGATATTGACAAACGAATTTACATTATATTATTAAATAGCATAGCGTTAACGTCAACTCTATAACGTCGTCACGTTAAGTTATTGAGGTGTTTTTAATGACTATGGTCACACCGGCACGCACACTACAATTGCTAAAAATCGGCTTCACTTAGTTATTCAGCGAACTCCGTCTTCACTTTTTATTTGGTCTGAGCTTCGAACCATTTAAAATGGTACTGATTATTTTCGAGTACCCATCCATTATTCTCAGGTTGATAAATTGTTGGAATTTGCTGATTTGCATTATTCCAAACACACAGTTGGCTCACAGGAATTGTTGTAGCAGTTTGTTTTGCAGAAAGTGACAACATGGACTATTTTACGACCATAAAAATAATTACTATAAAATTATGATTTGTAATAGCCAAGTGTCTGTTAAATTTCATTTTTTTTTTATATTTATGTAAATTTGGTGTTCTCTTCTGCAGCGATCCAGTCGTACAAAGAGGCGCTAGAGTTAGAGGAGGGGCTGCAGCGCGCTAAGGACGGCCTCGGTCGAGCGCAGAAGCTGCAGAAGCAGTCCGAGCAAAGGGACTACTACAAGATCCTGGGGGTCAAGAGGTAGTATACTTGGCATTCTAGGATTATCCTTTACTTCTATAAGAAACAAAAATAGTCAAATTAATACTGCCCCTTTAAATATGGCGGTATGAATTTTCGTCGACTCGGGGAGCCCGAAAGAATATTAATCCCTTTGGAAACTAAATATTTACACGAAATCCTAATAAAAAACAAAACTTAATTACATGTCGACTGTACATTGATAACGATTAATAGGTCGTTTATAGTTCAGTATGTGGATGAAATAGCGGTGATACTTGTCGCCAGGTCCGCCAACAAGCAGGAGATAGTGAAGGCGTACCGCAAGGCGGCCCAGAAGTGGCATCCGGACAACTTCCACGGCGACGAGAAGAAACTGGCGGAGAAGAAGTTCATCGACATAGCCGCGGCCAAGGAGGTAATTCTTTACTTCAGAGATGTCATAGTAGGATTTTGTTTATTTAACTCTTAGGAGACGGGGAAAGTTGCGATTTGACGAATCGAAGGAGGAATCGCTGAATTTCCTTTTATCTTTAGATATATTATCAAATTACTCGTTTTACGTCGATAATAATTAAAATCACGAGACTATTCGTCGAAGTAATGTATCGATAAAAAACGGCGAAGCGGTTTTTTCTTCTTAAAAATATATAAATAAAATGAAAATATTATTATTAAAGTAAACTTGTTACAAGCACTTTTGAATCGTCCAAAATTTTTTTTCCGCTACCACTTGTTCAGGACGTCTTTTAGCTGACAACAAGAACAAGGGAATGATACTTACCAGCTTTTTATCATAAGTAATGACATTTACATAAATCATGTCATTACCAAAATAAAACATATATTGAACAATAATAACTGATTGTTTATGTTGCTTTTCCCTGGAATCCAGGCCCGATGCCAAGGAGAAAGAATCCAATTGTGTACCCTCTGATACAGAGGCATTCGATAAGCATTTTAAGGCTAGTACATACTCCCCTATCTCTTTTTTTGGAGAGATCATAATTTTTAGTCATTTTTACAAAAGAATTTTCGAAGTTATTTATTTTACTATTTAACTTGTCAATATTTTCTTTGTAGGTTGTCCTATTTTCATCGATTATAGAATGACAAGTTTTTAATTTTTCTATCAATTGTATGTGTTCTTTGGAGAATTTGAAATTCATGTTAAAAGTTTTTGTTTATTTTGTTTTATTAACATACCTAATTAATTTTATATATTTTCTCAATCTACTCCTACTACATTTAACAACACCTCTTTTTACAAAACACTCAATAGAATTTTCTGTAGTCAAGCCAATTGTTACTGGGTGTTAGTGAGGCAGAAACAAGACCGGGGGCACAACTAACCAATTCACCATATAGACGGGTTCTGAGAGGCCATAATCTTTGTTAGCTCAGATTCCAGTTTATATATGCGATCGTTAGCCTCCTGAAGTCGCTGTTCCAATCCAGAATGGAGCCTAAGGGCCTTCCCATACTCATCTCTGCACTGGTCGAACCCGTCTATTACTAATCGTAATCTATCTTTCTTTGATCTTTCTATTTATCTTTTTCTGACGCTGAGAAATGCGTTACGCATACCCGCTCCCCCTACTCTAAGAAGAACTAAAACTCAGCGATGTACCTCACTCGGGTCGGCGGCGATGGAACGGGATCGGCCAGTGGGCCATTACGCCGCGCCGGTTGGCCCCCTTTAGCCCACCCCGAAGGGCGGGTTCCCTCACCGGGTTGGCCATGTGCCTCAGGCACACCCCAGGCAGGGTAACCCGCCGACTGTCCCTACCAAAGATAGGAAATGCGCAATCGAGCATTTCCAGTTGGAGGAACTCCCCCCGTACGTCTCAGCTCCGCAGGTGGCCAGTCCGACCGCGACCTGTCCCGCGGGGGGAAGCGCTATCGGACCCCAACAGCGTGCCCTGTAAACAGGACCACAGAGGGAACTCCCTTCACCCACTAAAACTCAGGCCGACTCCGAGCATTCCTCTCACTAATTGTCGATCACAGGCCCGGCAGACGTATCCCTGCAGAGAAACCAGGTCGACGATCAGCCGTTACGGATGTCCACCTCCCGACATAATAAATACGCCCTCTGCGATTGTCCATTCTGTCGGTAGCGAGGCTCATTATCCATAACAGCTGTCTGATGCAGTCGGACCGCAGCCTCTAAAGGGGCGCTATCAGATCTCAAAACCGCCTAACAGACTACCAGTCATGAAAACCATAACCAATACGCCTCCAGTTAGTAGTCTCCGTCGCCACATCATCCGGTCCAGTCGCCGTTTGCCCCTCTGGCATGTCGCAACCGGACCCGGACATCGTAACTAAAACCGCTCCCTCATGAACACTCATAGTCTCACCAGGTTTAGTAGCCATCGAGCCCCTCTGGCAAGGCAACTAAACCAAGAGTCCTTAACCGATTCCACTCCCACTAATGAGTCCCCATCGGAACATAAAAATCCGAATCTAAGAGCCGAGCCCCCAGTGCTGTTTATTTTGTTCAGCCGAAGCCGTTCTCCTCAGTTATTATTAAATAATTACAGTGCAATTCAGACAGTTCTTTTTTAAATTGGTTATTTTTTTCTAACACATCCAATAACTCTTTTTCATTGTCCCTCTCCCTAAGTGATTGCTCGACCGACTCCTTGGTGGCCTTAAATTCCTGTAAAGTAATTTGAAATTTTGATTCCTCTTGACGAGCTAAGGCCTTACGTGTCATCATTTTAGGTTAATTGAAAACTGTTGAAAGTATAAAACAATAGTCCAAGAAGTGGTTCGATCAACCAGTTTGAGGTTATCTGAAGGAAACTCAACACTTATTGGCTAAAAAGAAACTTAACTTGTGTTCGGTTAATGATAAGCGCGGCTCGTGGCGAAAAGTAGGTCACCGCCGGCCAACCTGTAGTTACATATGTTTTTTCAGCAGAACATTTCGATCCCCGTTACCGGTTGGATGTTCTCTCAAACATTTATCTCATTATTCTATATTCTAAGGTATTCAAATGTAATATTTCTACGGAACCTTCGGTGTGCGAGTCCGACTCGCACTTGCCTGTTTTTTTATACTGATTGGTGTCTAAACAAGTTTAATACACATCAAGAGTAATATCTTTGCCTTTCGTAGGTTACAAAATATATAAACTTTTAAAATAAAAAAGTAAATGTCCATCAATAACTACAAAACCAAGCCAGAGCACCCAGTAGGTAGAAAATAATATGACGATCTCGATATCGGTGCTGCGACGTCGCAGGCGAGTCGGGGCCCACACGTAACCGAAACTACGCAATTTTAAATGATCCACAACTTGGCCATCTATTAACAGATTTTGTTCTTGTTCTTTGATTTTTTAAATATAATAATATAAATTGTGTCAGGTGCTGACGGACCCGGAGAAGCGCGCGCAGTTCGACGCGGGCGCGGACCCGCTGGACCCGGAGGGGGCGCGCGCGGGGGGAGGGGGGCCCTTCCACGCGCCCTTCCACCACTTCCAGCACGGCAGCCCCTTCCAGTTCAAGTTCCACTTCAACTAGCCGACCCCCGCCGCCTGCTAATAATATCGTCTCGATCTTCCTCCTCACCTCGCCGAGTGCGCAATTCAACAGGTATAAAATCTGAAACGAGACCTCCGTTCGTCTCTAGAGTTCGTCCCTCGAGCCTGATATGGAAGTCACCTACAAAATTAGTACGAAACGAACATCCAATTATCGGACCCCCCCCCCCCCCCCCCCTTATCTAATAAACGTTAAAACAACACCCGACATATGTCCCGGCGATAGTATTTTAAGCACACGGAGAAAATTAGCATCATAAAAAATACCACCGTCATACCTGTCTTATTTTTCCGGAGCGAGCGTTCCTCGTCCGCGGTATGAAACATTTCAAAATGTTTTAAGAGAGATTTTCTCACAGAAAGAGCGATATGAGTCTGTATCGATGCTTCGACTGCTGTAGAACGATTGTGATAACTGAATAGTAGTAGAAACTTAGTACTGAATATTGTAGCGCGCTAACTTTTGCGCGTATAATTTTAGTATAATATAAATACCTAGATAGTTTTCCAAATGAGCGTCCGATTCAACACTCATCGAACGAATCGTTAGTCGTTTACAATTTAACGGTCTTTATACGTTTATAATTTATTTAATTATTACTGTTTTTTTTTTTACATAACAAATCGATGTTTGCTAATTTTCTTCTTTGTAATATTATTGAAATGATGCCATCACGAAACTAAACTTTATGGGCATTTTCTGCTTGTCTTATATAACATGTAGTTATAATATATTATTTTAACTGCTTTATTGAAGTTTGTCTTACAATAAGATAAAGCTCAAATTTTTTTATGCGTTCGCATGTTAACTTTGTTGCATGATTTGTTGACTCTTGTTGAAATAAAAGCATCAATTCGAAACTTTAATATAGTTTTCTATATAATATTGTTAACATCGATTATTTAGACCGTTTCGATGAACTTTTAATTTTATCATTTTCAAAGTACAATTTTATTATGTTATAATCTCATGGATTGTGGTAATATCACTTTCAAATATTGCCTAAAGCTTAATATTAACATTACCTTCTCGTTTGCCATCTATACTTGACGTATGCTGTGTTCATTGATATAATACGATTAATGTATATTTTACATTTCTGCATTATTAAAATAATCTTCCAGGATTTTTAGATCCTCTTAATTAATAGTTTCCACCGTAATATCTTCACTCTATCGCACTAGTTAAAGATGAGCAGTGTTTCTAGTTAATCGATCTTTTATACCAACTAGAGGCGTTCCTTTGGCCCGGTTGATTCGGCCAAAGTTTATCCACAGGCTAACGATGTACAGTCGCCAAAAAAAATCTATAGGTACGCTTTTGACGGATGATCACTCTTAACAGAAATATAGAGAGACATGTGATGTGAAAATTGTATCAATATTTTTTTATAAGTGATTGTACATATGAAACTCACCTCAGCAGAGTACAGTCACCGTTAAAAGTGTTAACATTTATTCAATTTTTTTTTTTAAGTTATTTATCAATGAAAATTAGTTCGCTGACTGTACTGTGACGCGGTGTGCGATCAGCTAGTTTTATAGTCAACTGAGATTCGTCACTCTGTGCAGTGGCGGTCGATTGTGTATAAATATTTATTTTAAATAAGGTACTTTGTTGTGATCCTTATAACTTGTAAATATTTTTAGAATAATAAGTTATTACAACAGAGATGGTGTTTTTTATTTTTATTTATTTAAATATAAATTAATTACAGTCACGGTTGGGATGCAATCCCTACTATAATACAGTAACATCTGTAAACATTTCTTATTCTAATAATAATAAATTATTACCTAAACCTATAAAAATATTTTTTTGCTACAATATTGCACTGCAAATGTTAAGAAATCGATTATCGCTTAATCGATATAAGAAATTCCCACTCCCATATTTATATATTTTTTTACAATGATCACATTAATACATAAAAAAACATTGCATCTTTGAGACTACATTAAAACCCACTTGATGTAAACGCAACATGCATAACAAGAGTTAATATTCCCATAGACAAATATAGACAAGACAAATATAAATTTAAGTATTTGATTTAAAAGTGTGTGAAAGTTTATACACACTTTAACCACTTGTCAATTTTAATCTGCCGAACAAAACAAAACGCTCCTGAACTGTAAGTATTACTTACATATAATAATAGCTTTATATAAAAACAATTTTGTTTTATTGGAACTATAGAAAGCATTATGTGTAGGGCTGCCACAATTGCGTCTGCCCGTATTCGTTTTCTTTAAACTGATGTAGATCTGGAGACCGGAATTGGCTGTACCCTTAGTCCTGTCTGGTCACAAAAAATATATATTTGTTACAAGTTTATAAGTGTTGATAAAACATTGAAAAAAAAAAGCTAAGTTGAATAGTAAATTATCTAAGGGGCCGTCCATTAATCATGTAATGTTTTTTTTTCAACATTTTTTGACCCCCCACTCCCTTGGTGATACATGTTGAGGTTTAAGACTACCCCCTCCCTCCTTCAACCAAATCACGTGTAGTTAAAAAAAAAAACAAAAAATCTTAATTTTTGACATCGCTTTTTGGTTTAATTATCGCACGTCGAGTAAAAAATAAATACACATGATATATTACTACACCCCCCACCCCCTTTGTGAATTTCGTGATTTTTGAAGGATCCCTCCCCCCGCCCCCTTTCGAGCCTCGCGTGATTAATGAACAACCTCTAAAACACCCAATTAATCGTCGTGGGTATTTCTTGCTGCTAGCATACTAAAGAATATATATATCGCCAATTTGATTAGTTTAAGGCACTGATTCCTTAAGTGGTCCAGGTGGACCCCCAGTGGTCCACGAAGGATTCAACGGGGTTTACGTTGGCGTGAATTTCCATCGTTAGATCTTCATATTTTGGACGAATTTTGGGAATATATTAAAAATGTAGCAGCAGGGGGTCCACCGAAACCAGTAATTTTTTTAAGATGGTCTACAAGAAAATAATGTTTGGGAACCTCTGGTTTAAGGCATAAAACGGATTGAAGAAAGTGTGTGTTTTGTCGTACCGCCTGTACCTGTGAGGTCAGTGTGCAGCGTCGTCCCCGTCGTGCGCGGCGTCGTGTCGCAGTCGCAGTCGCAGTCGCAGTTGTCTGGCGCCGCGGTCGATCTCGTTACTCAACGTGGTGCGGTTCTCCGGCAACTCGCAGATGTATCTGTTTTGATGATACCGTTTTATACAAAAACATGATGATTATAATAATATTTGGAGAATTTTGTTGCCCAAATTTGGTTTTAAAGCTGCATTTTCAATTTTGTTATATCTAATAACCTTGTTAATATAGGATACAGCAGTGAGCGGTATAGGTATTATTAATAATGTTAAAATTAGATTTGTTTAGCTATGTATTATTTCATAGGTATTTATATAATATATTGCTAAAAAATTATACAGTAGTGTATGTTGTCATCTCGTGATTGTCGCCTACATTTATGACACAAATTTCATTTCCAAAAGTGGGTTCATAGTTATAAAGTTAATTTTGTGTTCGACTTTATATCGAATACTTAGACTCCGAAAGTACTGGTCTAAACCGAATTTAAAAATTATTTCACCGTCCATGCCTACGGGAAGCTACGTCATACGCGGGTGATATAGGTTACAATTAGGGTTGCCAGATCCAGGCTGATCAATTCCTGGCCATTTCTCGGGCCATGAACGGGATCAGAGTTTCGGTCTCCGGCCCGGGACGTAAATAGGAATTTACCTAGAACTGTTGGTTGACGAAAAAAATACTTTTTTTTTTGAAAAGTCTTTTTATTTACTTCCTTATAATGTTCAATAATTTTTTTTAATTCAACTTAAAGCCACTCGCCTCTCCCGTCGCTCACTTCACGTCGTTGTAGCCGTAGTATCGCAACATTGTGAAAAAAAGACTAATATTTTTTTTCATTCCGGGACAGCAAAGTAATGAAATGAAATGAAAATATCTTTATTCAAATAAGCTATTACAAGCACTTTTGAATCGACCAAAATCATTTTTTTCCCTACCACTTGTTCAGGACGTCTTTTAGCTGACAAGAAGAACAAGCGAAAGAAACTTACCAGCTTTTTATCATAAGTAATGACATTTACATAAATCATGTCATTACCAAAATAAAATGTATTATCATAATGATAAATACAACTTTCACAGTCTGTAGGACATAGGTTGAACATATAATTAGTCGTTATTGAACAAAGCGAAGGCTATTAATTCCATGCATCGCGATCCTTTAAATAATCATCAACTTTATAAAAGCCTTTACTCATAAGTATGTTCTTAACATTAATTTTAAATTTATTTATGGGTAGGTCAATTACATTTTGTGGAACTTTATTGAACATAGCAATACATTTACCCAGAAATGATCCTCTGGTTTTCGGAAGTCTGAAGCTTCGAACGGCAAGTTTATTTTTATTTCATGTGTTAAGATTATGAACACTACTTTTTTGTGAAGGAATCGAAGTGTTTTCTTGCGTACATAATATTTTCATATATGTATTGGGAGGCAACAGTCAAAATATTTATTTCTTTATATATTTCTCTGAGAGATTCCCTAGACCTCAGACCAAATAAAAAGTATAGACGGAGTTTTGCCTAACAGAAAAGTGAAGCCGACAAAACTGCGCCTCGGCGTATTCGTACACAGTTTCACGCACACATACATAACGAAACTACGCCTTCCTTATCAGTCTAACTAAAGACAGTGTGTGGAACGTTTAATTGGGAAAAAAAACAAAAATTTCTTACTTACTGCCGAATTGTACAGTAAAAGGTTGTAAAAACCAATCCTTAAAAAATAAAAAGCAGGATGGAATCCCATTTCACACATAAGTATTGGAGAAAACTTACATTTTCAGTAATTTAAAAATTAAATTTAAGTAATTGCTTGGAACACAAAACTACAGTCAAATATTACCATCGTTAAACGTTATTATTTACCCCGAAATCAGGTAACTTTAATTTTATAACGCGTTATTTCTAACAAAACACAAATTACGTTATGTATTTTTTCTTGTTGTATGGAAATGATATTTAATAAATTTTGCATTCAAAATGCTACATAGAGGTCCAGATCACAGATATTGAAGTGTTAGAATAAGGAAGTAAAAATAAAAAAACGGGTTTAATTTTTTACTTCTTTATTTTTACTAAACGGATTTTCATACATTTTTTCATTTCCAAACCGACATCAAAATGTGAAAGAGAAGTGGATTTCAGTCATTCGTAATAGTCGAAATGAACTTTCATGGAATTCAACTAGGCGCAGCGTAGATTTTTCAATTCATTTTAAGAGCGATGATATGTATTATACTATAAAAGGATTACGTCGAATAAAGCAAAACTTATATCCAACGGTTTCAAACTTTCTATATATTAAAATTTTAGTTAACATAGTGGAAGTTTTCAAACTTAACTTAAAAAATTAATTAAATAGTCTCTCTAATGTATGGCCTCCAATAATAATTACCTACACTTAAAGATTTTAGAATATCTATGCTGATATTAACAAACAAATTTACATTATATTATTAAATAGCATAGCGTTAACGTTAACTCTATAACGTCGTAACGTTAAGTTATTGGGGTGTTTTTAATGACTATGGTCACACTGGCACGCACACCACAATTGCTAAAAATCGGCTTCACTTAGTTATTCAGCGAACTCCGTCTTTACTTTTTATTTGGTCTGAGCCCTAGACCGTAAATTATATACAGCGCGGACAGCTCTCTTTTGTAAAATAAAAATACTTGAATGCTAGCCGCAGAACCCCACAACAATAGATCATACGTCATCACACACTGAAAATAACTAAAATATACCAATATTGCCGTTTCAACATTTGTCAAGAGTCTAATTTTCTTGACAGCAAATGCTGCAGAACTCAGTCTACTTGACAAATTATCAATATGAGGATCTCATTGCAGTCGGGAATCTGGTGTAATAACAAGGAACTTTGTCGATTCCACCAACTCAACTTTTTCACTATTTACATTTATAAGTGTATTAACGTGCCTCACATTAGGTAATGCAAACTTTATGCATTTTGTTTTATTTGAATTAAGCTTTAAATTATTACTATTAAACTACTGTAGAACATTGTCGAGAGCATCATTTACACCGTCAAAACAATCATTACCCCTTTTAACTTTAAACACTAAAGAGGTGTCATCAGCAAATAACACTGTCTCGCACAAGTTCTTTGTAAAGTGAGGAAGATCATTAATGCAAATTAGAAAAAGCAATGGTACTAATATCGATCCCTGAGGGACGCCCATAGTAATGGGTGCCCCTGCAGATTTCGCTTCATTAATTACTACTTTTTGAATTCAAGCAGAAAGATATGATTTTATTAGATTAAGTGAATTTTTCGTCACGCCATAATGCTCTAATTTCCCCAACAGTGTTTCATGACTAACACAGTCGAATGCTTTTGAAAGATCGCAAAAAATGCCGATAACATCTTGTTTATTTACATCATCTTGTAAAATTATTGGACACGAATTATGTATGAACACTGGAAGAGAATCCCTTACGCAGCTATGTCTATACCTAATCGCCGTGCATCGACGTCGAGGTCAAGCTGACACGAGTTGCCGACGCTGCAGTTTACACCACTTAAGCAATTATAATATTTTATATTCACTCTGATTTCTAA